ATGTTGGAGCAACATATGCTGCCTTCAAGACGACATCTTTTCCAGGGACACCCATGCATATTTCAACAAGACAATGTGCATATGTCATAAGAATGAGGACTATGCTATTGCACATCACTACATGAAATGTAATCATACTGCTACTGTACATGTTATATCTTCTCTTAGAGGTGGAGACATTATTTCTAGACCTAAACAGTGGGAAAGTTTACTGGATTTACACCTTGGACACAATAGAACCTAAAGGCCTTGATAATTTTTCATTAGCATAATTTTTGTGAACATTTTCTGTGTATTACTATTATTATTGTTATTATCTACTGATGCTTAGCCTTTATGTATCATTTCTACTGCCTTTTTCTTTTTTTAATTTGCTACTTCTGTATATACATTCATTATGAATTTCTTGGGACTTTTACATTCTTTATTGTCCCCATACACATGCATATCTTGTCATTATTATATTTGCTTATCGCTGTTATTTTTGTGATAACTGTAATGACCCAGATGTTTCCAGTTGCTCCAGGTGTGTGTCATTGTTGTATTTTAAGCTCTGAGGAAGGTGTTTGCCAAAACATCAGCTCATGTTTTAAATAAAGTTTGTGCTGCATAGCGTTATTAGTGCGGCTGTTTTTTTTCCCCCAAGCATTTTCTTGCTTATTTTATGTGAGGCAGATCAGTGTTTAGGAACCCCAACTACAGCTTAGATTAACAAAAGCTGAGCCATGGGTAACAGCAGAGAGCTTCACAAACCGAGCCTGAGATGCCCCAACATGTTATCATCTGGTACAGGTACTTACTGGGAACTGGGCATGTAGCAGACAGCCTGGTTGGCAGGAATGGTCCAAGGCTGGGTGGTCCACACCAGCACAGAGACTCCCTCCAAGCCTGCTGGGGTACACATCCACCCACATACGAGATATTTCTCACCAGGTCAAAAACATGTTATTACAAAAAGTGTTGTGCGTTACCTTTTTCTGAGGCCATCTTCGGCGGCAGTGTAGTCAGAGGAAACGTGGCATAGATGGCTCTGCTCACATGATCAGGGTTGTACTCCAGCTCAGCCTCTGCTAAGGCCGTTCTACAGAGGCACAGAAACAGAAGTGCATCTCATAGGAGGTTGCAGAACCATGTATTGTGTATTTATATAGAAAATGTCAAAGTGTAATAAGCTTATTAACTCATTACCTTGATGAAGGAGACCAGAAGACTGGTTTATAGTCCTGGTAGATGAGCCCCTGAAGAAAAATAGCCACAGAGAGGCAAAAGTTAGTCTCAGCTCAATTTCACAGCTTATGAGGGGAGCTCCCTGTCAGCTTACTATGGTTACAACAGCTACTGATGTTATTATTTAGGCTGGCATACAGTAAGAATGTTCAGTTCAGACATGAACCACAGCAACACATGCTGGATGAATATCACATGAATGTCCACCTTGCTGTGCATTTCCTGGAAAACATTCAGCTGAGCAGCCTCATAGGCCGCATCATAGGTGTAGTAGCAGTGGTCCCAGTCAGCAATCACCCCCCAGCGCTGGAAAGCAGCCTTCTGACGAGCTATGGCGCCCTCTGCAAACTCCCGTGCTAAGTGAGATGGAAACAAAACATTATAGCAGCTGCGATTCTAACAGTGCTCACGTTCAGTCAACCATCTGTGTTTTCTAACCTTTCTGTCTGATCTGTAGTGGACTGAGGCCACTGGTCCCCAGCTCTCCCAGAGCCTTCAGCTCGATAGGCAGGCCGTGGCAGTCCCAGCCTGGGATGAAGTGGACCTGCCGCCCCCTCAGCATCTCAAAACGGTTACGGATGTCCTTCAGGATCTGGATCAAACAAGATACAAGCAACCTAATACTTTATTGGGAAGTGGCACTCTCATAGATGCCAGAAATATTTGACTTTTAACAGCAACTACATCATACTGGACTTGTCAAAAGTTAAATAAAGTTAAATAATAAACAGATGACCTTATTGAGTGCATGTCCTACGTGAGCGTCTCCATTGGCATATGGGGGCCCGTCGTGAAGGCAGAACTCCCTCTTGGCCTTCCTCTCTCTCTGCCAGGAGTACAGATCTGCAAATCCACACTCCTGCCATACACAGAACCAAGGAAAGAAGTTTTTACTTTAGAATTCTGACATGTAACAAGTGAGCGGTTTTTGAAGGAAGGTTCCTCGTACCTTCTGTATCTCGAGTTCTCGGTCCAGCAGCTTCTGTCCGCTCAGTTTCATTGGGAAGTCAGTCCGGGGAAGGAGCACGGTGTCTCGGTACAGTCCCTGAGCAGAGTCCGTCTCTGTGGGCTGAGCGCTGCCGTGACATCGGCTGGAGCTGAAGGAGACAGCACCACGGAGGAGACCGCCTCCCCGGTGGGATCTCCGTCCCCATCTCACTAGTGTCTGGCTTACTGCCGAAACCCGGCAAAACAGCATGGAAAGGCGAGAAATCTCCGTAGACAAGCAAAACTACTAAAACTGAAAGCTATGCGTTTGGTTCTCTGGTGCTATATTCCACCCTTTATCAAGTACTGTGTTTCTTCCGGAAGGAATAGCAGAGAGAACAATTACGGAAACCCATTAGGGTCATTAGTTATCAAGCAACCTCTTCTTCGTTTTCTTTTGAAGTTTATTGGCGTTTTGTGTGGCAGTTTGAGGTGCATTACCGCCACCT